TCGCATGTAATCCCCTCCTCCTAAGTAAGAATGACACCCCCCCCTTTATTAACCAGATGATTGGAGTTTTTATGAGTAGGGGCGGGTGGTACATTCTACTGGGCATTCATAAGGTTTCTATTTTCTTTTCCGTTATCCACTATATAATCCCCATATATACATATATCTCTATAGAAACCCTAAACCCATTCAGGACAGCAATTCAGCATTCCTTCCAGCCTGCCATGGCTACTGGCGCGTTCCCATGCTGGGTCAGTCACATTTCGCGTTGCCACGGCTTCAAAGTGTTAGACGTTTGTCCAGCAACATGCATAGATGGACGCGGACTTTTGCATTCTCACTGCGCTCCGGGAGGTTTCCGACGTTCAGCTTCCGTTATGCCCAGGATGTAGTGAAAACAAATCATGTGCTGGCTTGCAGCGTGTGTAGCGGACATGGGCGGCGGGATTTGCCAGCAGACTCGAGACAAGCTTTGGCCGTTTCAGCGGGCAAATTTCATACTTCAGCAGTGCGGGCAGATGGTCAGCTCGTCTGCTTTGGAGCCAACGCACTTGGGCAATGTCAGGTGCCAGCAGATTTGGGACCAACATTGGCAGTCTCCGCGGGCGAGTATCATACCTGTGCAGTGCGGGAAGATGGTCAGCTTGTGTGCTTTGGAGGAAACGGATTAGGCCAGTGCGAGGTGCCAGCGAGATTGGGACCAGTAGTTGCTGTCTCGGTGGGCGAATTTCATACTTGTGCGGTGCGGGCAGGCGGTCAACTCGTCTGCTTTGGAGCCAATGGGTGTGGGCAGTGTCAGGTGCCAGCAGATTTGGGACCAGTGTTGGCGGCCTCAGCGGGCGAGTATCATACCTGTGCAGTAAGGGAAGATGGTCAGCTTGTGTGCTTTGGAGGAAACGGATTAGGCCAGTGTGATGTGCCAGCAGATCTGGGACCAGTTTTGGCAGCCTCAGCGTGCGAATATCATACGTGTGCAGTGCGGACGGATGGCAAGCTCGTCTGCTTTGGAGGGAGCCTAGATCGACAATGTGACGTGCCAGCAGATTTGGGACCAGTGTTGGCAGTCTCAGTCGGCGAATTTCATACTTGTGCAGTGCTAGCAGATGGTCAGCTTGTCTGCTTTGGAGCCAACGGACGTGGGCAGTGTCAGGTGCCAGCAGATTTGGGACCAGTGTTGGCAGCTTCAGCTGGTGGATATCATACCTGTGCAGTACGGGCAGATGGCGAGATTGTTTGCTTTGGAGACAATGGAAGTGGGCAGTGTGATGTCCCCAATGGCTGATGACACAGAAAAATGTTACCCTGTGCCTGCGCGACTTAGAGCACGAGCCCTAATCATTCTCCCAAATAACACGCCCCCCTGCTCAACCAACGAACATACTACGACTATGGCATGATAGCGGGTGAATTTCATGTTAGGGGGGGGTCATGATCTGGGGGAGGGGAATCTTGCCCATTGCCCTTGTCAGCCTTGCCAGCCAAAACCCTAAACCCTAAAACGTCCAGGCCTACAGCAGAAGCTGGAATAGCAAAACTCGGATAATGTAGTAGTTTCCTTTCCTTTCATTTCCATTATCCCCATATAACCCTTTAAAGGGACGCCTCGTATACAATGGTCGTTTTCATTTTCTTTTCCACTATCCCTATATAATCCCTACATTCCCCCCTACATTGCTATAGTACCCCTATAAAGTGGGTGGCAAACCCAGGCAAACATCAAGCCCAAAATTGTGTGATTGTCGGGATAAGAGTCAAACAGCCTGCGAACATCCAGCACGTCAAACTGCAATAAGTCCTGTCATTACCTTCAAGAGACTTTTAGTTTTGTGACCTAGTTTGTTTTCGCTTCTCTTAGAGGAGTGCGTGTTCTGAGACCATTTATCTGTCCACCGCAATGATAGGCAATGTCCCTGCCGGCCTTAGAATCCCAACCCCAAACCAGTTTGCTTGTGGCATTTTGGAGAGTCAGAGGGGCGTAGCAAGTGACCTGTTTTTTACGCCCTAAACCCCAACCCTAAAGCCTACAAGCCTTACAATCACACCAGGATTCCTAGCCTCTATGTCCCCCTGACCCTCCCAGTTGTCGTGTTCACGCGACCTGGGGACAACTTCGCCTTGATGTAGCCCAACTTGTGCATGAATTCTGGTTTGCCGCTTGTCTTCGGGTTTGGGTTTGTTTTGCTGCCTGTTTCTATTGCGAAGTGATCAAGACAATACTGGCGCGTCGCGTTGCACATGGGCTGCCAAGTGCTTAACTTGCTGCTTGCTCCTGACTAGTACCCGAGTTACGCCCGCCTGTATCATCCACATGTATACTTCTAACGTGGCACCGAGTGGTATACTTGCCTACTCCTCATTAAGAAGCAGTAAGCTGCCTTGGGCAATGTGTGTGCGCGCTATGTCTAGCCGTCGTCAACTGTTTCATCCTGACTTCTTAGCCTTGCATTGTGCCTGGACCAGGCGAGCGTTGAAATCGAAAGGCCCTGAACCCTCAACTGACCCATGATACGATGGAAGCTCAAAATCCTGTGTGACCCTAAGTAGCTTACACGTACATCTTGTGAATTATGATGCTGTAGCATACTCAGGTCATGCAGGATCTTCGTATCAACAGTACTATGAGAGCGCAAAAGGAGCCTTGCATGTGCAGGACCTGGGAGCACACTTCGGGACTTTGGAGGGCGACATCCTGGGTGCACTACGGGGGGCCATCACCTACGAGAGGCCCAGGGGTAGACAGTGCAATAATCAGTTCGAAGGAGGGGGTTCTATGTGCATGTAAGGATACAAGGGGTTTAGGGTTTGGAGCACTTCATAAGTAGAACCAGCCCAAGTGGAAGATACAATCGACTCATAAGGCGGTGAAAAAAAAGGGGGCATGTAGATACTAGTAGCTCAGGGACTGTGTGCAGGGGCCTGGAGTTTGGAGTTTAGTTTTCATGGTTTGGGGTTTAGGGTTTGAGGGCTCAGGGTTCAGCGTGAGGGCGGGGAGGTAGTCTTACTACTTCGGTTTTTGCATCTCATGTTTTGGAAGTTAGAGTTCAGCTTTGCGGTCCGAGGTTCCCAGTTAATGGGAGAAATGCTGAGTACATTTAGAGTTGGGAATATCATCTTCTTGCCTATCATGGGCCTCTAGAAAATGCCAGTTTCCATTTTTCCTGATCGTCCATCTGATTTTCAATTATAGCGGTTACCAACATCCTAAGCCTTTAGCCCAAAGCCCCAAATCCTCAAATCCCCAAATCCCCAAATCCCAAAACCAAAAACCAATATCTCGTCACTGCAAAGGGCAACATACTGCACTCCTTTTGAGGAGCTCAGGGATGTTGGTCGGCTATAAGCCTTGCAGTACAGCCTTCCCCCACCCCACCACACAAAGTCTAAATGGTGTAGGAGGTAAGGGTTTAGGGTTTTAGAGTTTAGGGCTTAGGGATTAGGGTTTAGGGGCTAGGATTAAGGGTTTAGGGGTTTAGGCATTGGTGTTTAGGTTGCAGGTTTGTAGCCTGGTCTTCTTTAGCCGCTGGAGAACCCATGATGCACATCAGGCATCCCTTTGGTGCTCAACGATTTGAACTCATGTGTTGTAAGCTGAATAAGAGTTAGCTTTTGTGTGGATCTTTCTCAGGTTCCAACTGCTAGCAACTGCAAACATCGTATGCCCATATAATCCTACATAGTCCCTACAGTCCCCATATAATCCTATACAATCCCATATCATCTCTGTGCAATCCTATATGTTCCTTTATAATCTCTATACTTTATGATCCTGTAAATCTATATAACCCTATAAAAATCGATATACTCATTTATAACCCCCCTTTATCCCCATATAGGTTTCCCAGGCTGTAAGTTGGCATGGCCAGCAATGGTTCTCAAGATTCGTGCTCGCAGACGTGCTGTGCTGTTTTCTTGGTATTTGTTGCCTAGTAGTAGGCGCCCATGTGGGAGTTTCTGAACAAGGGGTATATGCCTTGGGGACCCAGTTCCAAGCCCAAAACCCTAAACCCCTTATTTGAGAAGCTGGCCATGGGTCAAGGCTGGAGATGCGAAAGGGCCCTGTGGGTGACGGCAACATGGCCTTGGTGGAGCCTTACTTCAGGAAGCTAGGTTTTTCAGTAGAAGTTTCTTTTTTTCTGAACCGGCCTGTTGGATGAGAAACGCAAAATCCGATATAGCTCTGACCGAATATGCAGCCCCCTACACCATGAACACCAATCTTGGGAAACCCAATGGCCCTTAGTATCATCACTATTATGACCATTATTTACCATTTCTATTCTTATTGCCATTTTCACGATTATTTTGATTATTATCCCTATGAACAGCCTAGGAAGATCCAGCTGACGCCCAGCTCCTCGCACGGGTCTGTGAGGGTGTTTCGCGAGAAATTTGGGGTTTCTTTGACTTCTCAAAGTAGTGCCGGCAGGCATGAAACTGCCCTGACGACGGTTATGCATGCCTGCAGCCTACTCAAAACCAAAATAATTAACAATGATCTGGCCCTTGAACCTGCAAAGTGTCGGGTTCTGGGTGATCGAAGTAAGTTCCGCCTTACGTAGATAGCATATGGCTTTGGGTATAGTGAAATAAGATTCCCATATACCCCAGATTCTATCTACTTAAGGGGGACTATAGATCAATGAACTAGCCGCAGATCTTCAGCCTTGAGCCAGCGTTAGCTTCACAGGCTTCTGCAGCACATGGGAGTAAGAGCAGCAGGAACCGAGAGATGCACAACGGAGACTGTGAGAAGGTTATAGTGGTCCAGCTTAACTTGCTGGCTGCAGAGACAACCTTCAAACTTCTGAGGTCTATAGCATCCTACTGTCATCAAAAGGTTCACCTTTTCTTGGAGCGACAGAACTCAGCATTCAGGTTGTGGTCTGTCTTAAGGGTTAAAGATAGTTCTTTCTTATCGCGAAGCTCCCGGTCGTGCGCACTCAGGTGCCGCGGAGCGGGTTGGATACGACACTGAGATTGTGGCGCACAATGGCTGGGTCATGGCACCTGGGCAGTGTAAAAGCATTCAGTGCGTGCGGTTCTAGGGTTTACGTGCTGATTTCTAGCAGGGAGGGCAGGCATGAACAAGGAAGTGGAAGCTACTTATTGCATTATTGGACGTTGCACGGGCACCACTGTAGGACTGCCCCATTTGCTAAGCTTTAGTCCGAAAATGTGGGTCTAGGATTTATTGATCTGTTGACGGTTAGAATTATTGCGCTGTGTGGCATAAGGCTTCGGTGATTCCCTACGTGTTCCTGCCTGTTTCTCATCCCTTTGAGGATTGGCCGGCCACGGAGGACTTTGCAATGCCTTCATGGCGAATGGTGTACTTGCGACGGCATCTGTGCGTGACTGGGACATGACGTGGGATGCTGTTCTCATGCTGTTCCCTTTTTTAGGACATTCTCGCAGAGGCCATTGTGACGTAATACTAATACCATCAGCAGCGCAAGAGCAAGACAGGAAGAGGTGACCTGGTCCTGAACACAGGTTTCCTCTTGTCAGCTTCTAGATCATGTACATCACAGAAGTCGCTTCCTTGGCGATCATCCCAACCCCAAGATGAGGATGACAAATCCGTAAGAGGAACTGTAAACTATCCATAAATACAATTGCATGGACAAGTAGTTGGAGATTCATGGGTCGGTCCTATACATACAGTCATATATATGTATGTATATATATATTTATTTAATTATACAGTTAGTGTGTGGCTACAAAGGAGGATGTAGAGATCCACCAGGTTTGGCAGGACAGGGAGGGAGTTATGACCGTATTCGAGGTCATGCGCATTTGAGCCTTAACGCGGGTTATAAGGGGAAAGAAGGGTCTATTATAGGGGTATTAAGGGGGATACTAGGATTTTCGACTATAGCTTATATATCCGTTACTTTGACCACTCAGCCTCCAAGCAAAGGTATGGACCGATACAGTGAAGCTGTACTACGGCCAGAGTCGAGAAGACGCTCCGTTCTTGCATCTCGGATGCAGACACGTACTGTGGGTAGGTGGAAGAATGTCTGGGCTGAGCAGCGCACCAGAGGGTGAGCATGAAAAGCCCGAACCAGGCGATGCGCGCAAGCTTGCTGCAAAGAGGTAGGAAATGGCTCAAGTAATCATTAGGCCACAAGGCAGTACTTTCTTTCCCTCACCGTTAACACTACAGGGTGCAGTAGTCTTGCGTAGCCTAGCTGCAAGGGCGGGCAATGTTGTGAGGAGTTCAGCGGCACATCCTCCAGAACATGCTATCTGGAGTATCTCGTTAACTTGCTTGGACGCCGGCTTGTGCAGCTTGTGCTTTGAACGCATGCTGGCCTGCGCTGCAGGTGGGATTTCATGACGGACTACGCTGTGGGCATGGCCAAAATTTTCCACGCTGTCCGTTCCTTGCCTAAGACTTCAAGGCGCTCGCTTGAAAATGGCTACTGGTTACCTCCGCAGTACATGAGAGTGTCCGTGCTGAGCTTGTTCTGAGGTTTGGACAATGCGCACTCCACGCCCCTTCACGTTAGCAGGCACGTGCTGTCGCGCGTCCGTGAGGCCGGAATGGCTTGGGTGTCAAGATCGTTGTGAGCGGTTTAGGAGCCAATTTATGGTCTATACAATTCCCAGAACTGCTCAGGGAAAATCCCACGCAAAGGAAGGCCTTGTTAGTGGCACAGAACCTGTTCATAAACATATTCCCTGCATACCAATTCGTCTTCAGTTGTTGTCTTGCAGCACTGGGAGCGCAAGAGGCAAAGACTACAGAAGACCTGCACAGTCGCGACCGCCCTCCTCTGGACATGCTGGAAGCTCCACAAGAAGAGACACAGCATGTAGAAGCATGAAAAATCACCAGTGTTATGTTCCTAGATTCCCAGTATCGTTGACGTGCTAGGTACTCCAAACAGACTTCAAAGTGATATTTGCATGGTAACTATTCCCAGCCTGAACCCACCAGATGCTCTGGAGGCCAACCCTCACTGCTGGGTCTTCGCAGAATTGTTGCCTGGTCGTTGTTGAGTTGCAGGGTTTAGGGCATGTGGTAGTAGGAAAGGAGGATGTGAAACTGCAATGAATAAACGGTGTCAGTGACAATTTTCTTTTTTATGAAGATTTAGGCCGTAATCCCTGGAAAAGCACATGTAACCTCATATGAGCTACAGTCTAAACTCCTTAAAGGGGGATTATATAGGGGACTATATAGGGGACTACTATAGGGGCTTTTAAGGGGGATACTAGGAGTTTAGACAGTAGCTCATATGTTCTTCTTATCCCAGGTTCACTGGAAATTTTGAGACTGATCTCCTATACCAGCGGACTCTGGGTATCAATGCCCTGATCCGCGAGGCTCGATTGCGGGGGATCCTGCCATTGATAGATGTGGCTTGAGGTTCAGGATCTCAGTCCGAAGCTGTTCCTGATTTTTGTGGAGCGATGGAGTGTGCAGGGCTTAAGGCAGTGGAATAATTGATTTTTGGTGCAAAGCAAACTTGTCATAGGCAGCATGACAAGTAGCCGTCAATGTGCGGCAATGCTCTCATGTCTTCAAATGGCCTCTCGAATCCTCAGCAACAAGGACCCTCCCCAGAATCCTGGTCATCGTTTTCTTCCCTGTGGGTTTTTTTGGTGCCCCATCTGGAGAAATCCTCTGGTTGCTCCTCATCGTCTTGTGAACGACAGGGCAGGGCAGGCTCTAAGTTTGGTGAACAGATCATGGAGAGCCGGACCTAAACCTTCGTCCCTACACTTTGAAGCCCAGTATGTGGGCTTTAGACAACCCTGAACGCCCTAAACCACTGACAGCTTTGAACCCTAAAGTCTACCACGTGTAATTCCTTTTTTTAGTGAGCCTTGCAAGGCCATGCAGTGTGACAGCCCCCATGACCTGGGCCACAAGCTGGAGCGGTGCATTCATTCAAGGGGGGGGGATTTGGGCTTAACTTGGAGTGTTGGGGGCTTAGGAAGTAGGTTGATAATGGGGATAATCGGGTAGTCATTTGGCTACCAGAGGGTTAGGTGGTCAAAGGAGCATGACATGAATTTCAAACGGAACATGAAATACAAGTTGTGGTTTAGAGTCTAGAGTGCGATAGCCGGATCAAGGTTTGTAATCATCTTTTCGCACAAGCACACTATGGAATACGAAGATACAGATGTTTATTTACTTTCCAATAAGGAACCGGGTGTAGGTTGCTGCGCTCAGGAATTTGGGTTTAGGGTCGAAAAACGTAGGTATGGATACATGAGACGGAAGAAGTCTTGCGCTCTGCCAAGTACCTTCCCGAGAAATTGATAGACCACGAAAAATGCAAGACTTCCTGCATCAACGATCCGTTCTAGTGAGTTTCCGTACTTGTGTGCGACATGTGGACACGAACTCCTGCCTAGTATGGGCAAGAACTGCATAAAAGAGCCGGGTTTGGGCTCAGCTCCGTTGCCTTCGTCAAGATCATTAGGAAGCTAACCTCTAGACCTCTCCAAGTCAAATTCCGAACGCATGACATGCGAAGAGTTACATTTGAATCGGGGAAGTCCTGCTGCCTAGTTGCCACTGCATCCAGTAACTCCTGTCAGACTGCTAGCCGAACCGCCACCCTGACAATGACTTCCCCAGCATTAGCAATCGTTTTCCGGGCAGTCTATGTCATTCTACGGATAAGATGTGGTATTGGAGTGGGTTTCGGGTTTAAACTATTAGGCGGCGGGGGTTGCTGGTTGCTTGTGACGCTGTTTGCTTCCATTTTCCTCATTGGCCGCCATTTCCTACTAACAGATCCCAAAGCCTTAAGCCGCTAAACCCTAAACATCTGGCCTTCCCTAAACCATGTGGCTGCTAAGAACCACAAATAACCCTTGGAGGAAAGTCCCCTCTGGAACGGCCATCCCGTGGGCGCGTTGTCACCCGTTCCAACCTTGGACCGGGCGGCGCCCTCAGGAAAGCCGCGGCTCGGATGGAACAATGTGTACCTAAACCAAACAAACGGGGTTTTGGGTTTATATCACCCCAACGATCGAGAATGATTAATTGAGGAGAGAATGGAAAGGTGATGGTCGAAGAATGAGGTTTCGGGCTTGGAGTTTAGGGGTTATAGAGGCATTCTATGGCCTGAGGAGTTAGAGGAGGGCTGGGCTTGTGCTGGAAGGTCTCAACAGGACCCCGCGAGATAGCGGTACGCAAGTCTACCGCAATAGTCAAGCCTAATCTTTTCCGGCATCACTGCTTTTTGCATATTGGGCACAAAATTTTCAAGAAGGGCCATGGGCACCATAGAGCAGGCTTCACATGAGCTGGTCTGAAAATCTAGGCGTGCAAGCATCTTAGCGCAACGTGTGAGTTTCCTTTTGTGATAACGTGCCTCTCCATGCCATGAAGCTATAGTTGGACGCAGAACCCTTTTGGGAGTGTCGAGGCCCCTAGAGTCTGGGAGCTTCATGGGACCTACGAACTACGATTATAACCCAATTATCCTTGGGGTAACCCCACAGTCCAGTTATCAGGTCTGGTCTATCTGAGGCACTGTATCTTGTTTGATTTTTGCAAGGAATCTACAGCAGAGCCAACTGACGCATGGGGTTTCTCAAGTAACAGGGCCCGGCTGATGCCGAGGATACAAGAGCCTTACCGGGGTGGGGTATGTAGCTCCTGATGAGGTTCAGGGATTATGGTTAAGGGTTTGGCATCATCTGGGGGTGATTTTTGAGAAGCTTCCAGGTGAACCTGGGCAGCCACAAAAAAGTTAGGCTTCAGTGTTACTGTTACTCTGCTCTGCAGTTTGGCCAGATGAAAGAAGGCCCCTAAACCCTAAACCCCTAAACCCTAAACCTCTAACCCTAAACCGTAATCGGCCAGTTGCAACGTTGACCCCGAACCACACTTCCAACACCCTGAACCCCAGCAGGCTTGAAATCTTGTACCCTACACCCGAAACTCTGAGCCCTGAACCCTAAGCACTGACTCTACACTGATTGTTATAGAGAGCACAGATATACATTGGGGTGATGATGGGGATGCATTCAACAATTCTCCATTGTCCCCCAAACCTAACTCTGAAACCTTACCCACAGCTTAAGGAAGCACCTCAGCAAGTGCCCCTCCCGTTCGCTGCTTGCCGCACCGGCCGCTCAGTACAAATTTGCGTGCATGGCGGGGTTTTGCGTGTGATGGCTTTTTCCGGAAACTGAGCTCGCTTTGTCGTCAGGGAGGTTGTTTTGGGTCACAGGTGGGTGCAGCGAAGATTAAATCCTACACGGGTGAAGCTGGTCATGCTCTGTGCTCCACCATTTGCAGCAGAAATCCCTCCCTTAGTGTGTCCTCTAACAAGAAGTCGTGATGCGTAGACATAGGGCCATCAAAAAGGCTAGGATTCAGGACTTTCCCATTCTTGGACCGCTGGGTACACGCATATCTCCGTGTATGGAGCCCCTTCAGTACCCATAAAAAGCTCGATGATGTGCGTAATTGCTTGCCCAAACTGGACGCATCATATTCTGCATTGGCACGTTTGGGATTTCTCAGCCCTGACACGTTTCTTTCTGTGTGATGTTCATGATGTTCCTATAGTTGGGTTGTTCTCAACAATATGGGCCCCTTTTTGGGCTATGGATTACATGTCGTAACCTAATATTCAGGTGTACCAAAACAGGACCCTAATCTTGGGAACTGCCCAGTTCCCCCGAAGATCCGTAACTGTACACTGCAGTGAGAAACCTCCCGAACCCAAAGCCCAAAAGCCTACCTGGACCCTCCAATGTAGTTCCTTTCGGGTTTGTTATATTTTTGGGCGACTCTTATCAGGATTACCACAGAGGTATTACATGGGAAAGTCTAGGTACCTCCTGAATATCAAGGCAAGAGAGGCTTTGCCACTCCTCCCACGACACTGCCCCGCACTCCTTTTCGATTGCACCCATGCTGCTGGGCATCAGGGTATATGATGTAGGGTATAGGGTTGAAGGAAATGGACTTAGGGTTTAGGCACAAATTCGGGCAGCTTTTGGACTTTCGGGGTCCTAATGTGAAGGGCATTACCCGTCCTGGAGGGTGTAGCGAGACCATGAGCTCTGTATGTACTCATGTAAGATTAACAAGCTCTAGTTGTGGAGTTGTTTGTTACTTGTCGGCATAGTGACTTCATATGAATCATCAGTACCATCTTCACGTTCTAACGCCCATGTTGCCGTGAGTGTGGCCTCGGTGGGGCTCTCAAACAACTCGTCAAAACCCTGAATCCTCATACGGATACAACTAGAGAAGACTTTCTGGAAGATGTCACAGGGGCCACCCTTGAGGATTACCTGAGGATTACCCCAACCCAAATTAGCATGGAACCCCAAAGGATCCTGCACTGACTACTGCCTTTAAAGCACGGGGATGTATGGGGCTGCATGTTCGTCAGGGGAGAAGATCTTCAGTTCACGTAGCGAAGCCCAGCGCAAGACGTGTATGGACACTGTCGTTGATCACTGCATATGAACTTTTTTTTATGGGTTACCACAGCTGGGTGCATATAGGGCTGCCGTGGAACGTTGACGAAGGTATATGTGGAGAGGCCGCGACACTGTGCTTTTTGTTTGGGTGGGGTGTCCATTTGGGGGGGATCAGGAATGCATTCCTACTTCATGTGGAAGACTGAGGACAATCAAACGCCTGCGCAGAAGCGACATCCAAGGCCGAAGTTGCACTAAAGAGGCTAGTCGCGTACTTTGGGCGAGCCACATTCTTGTATATGGATAGTTTCCAAAATGCGGGGCTCCGTTGTTGATAGCCCCGAACACAAGGTGCCGTGCTTTACTTGGTGCCCAGCAGGCACCCGTAGTTTTGACACCAGTCCTCATTCTATCGCTGTGCGCTTCGTTCAACATGCTTTTGCCAGTCTCGATGGTGTCAGGGATGCACTGCCCAATGCTGCAATCGTCGCAGCGAGCTGCGCAAGTGCTGGCAGTGTCCGCGGCTATGATGACCTCTTCCCAGCGAACCCTTCCGTGGTCAGTGAGCGAAGGCATCCCTGGGATTCAGGGTGTTGTTTGGGTCGGTACGCCTTCTGCAGTCCTCAGAAGGGCTACCAGAACTTGGGGTATCCTCCAAAGGCTTTCTCTGGTCTTCTTGCAGCCGACTTTGAGGTTGAAGCGTAGTTCAAGTTTTAAGTAGGGCCATTCGGAAGTTGTACCTACTAAAACTAGGCTTGTAATTTCTGCCGTGTTGTTTATAATTCCTGCCAGAGCCAGCCAAGTGAGACCAGAAAGGGATATTTCCCTAATTCGCGGGCAACTTCCAACATTTTTCATATTATTTAAAACGATAGATTAGAAGGGGGCCCGAACAACTGTTCTTCCGCACCACGGGACTCCGTTCCCTCAGGCTGTACGCGAAGGCACCGCATGTGGAGGCTGCAGCTCGGCTCAAATCTTTAGTTTTTCCACCACAAAGAAGCCATGTTTGTGGGTACTAGCAATAATCAGCAAGGGGACTTAAGGTTACATAGCAATATACGGGGGGGCCTAGGGACGCATCAGGTGTAGGGACTTGGTGTTTGTTTTAGTGTTAGTTTAGGGTTTCCAAATATCAAGGGTTCCCTTCGGGAAGGCTTTCAAAAAGGATTTCCGTGCCCCAAACCTGGATCAAGGTATGGGATCTTATAAGCGTTTTAGGGTTTAGGGTTGAGGGCAAATCAAGTCAAAGTGAATCGGAACATGCAAACCACGTGCAACGTGGGAACATGTGTTCGGGTCTTAGGGTTTAGGGGATACGCTTGGGGCATGATTTCCTTCTATAACTGCACGAGCGATCGTTTTTCCGCAGGATGAATATTGAGAATTTTTGGGGTTGTGCCAGGGGCTTTAGATGTTGTTTAGATGTGCATCGACCGACATAAGCATGCATGCAGGGAGGGGCGTATGACTCCATGCAGGGATTAAGACGTCCCAAAAAGCGCAAGAACTTAGAGCCCTTGTGCAGAGGACTAGTTATCATCTGGCGGGTCTACGGAGGCACCTTAAGGGTTTAGGGTTTAGGGCCTCCATGCATTAAAGGGGTAGAGGGTGCACCAGGGGGCAGACTGGGGCTATTCATGCCATCCAAGAGGAGACTACATGGGCTGATTCGGGTTTACGTGTGAGGAATACTTGATATCAACGGGGGGATGGAAGGTTTTTAATATTGGGCGGAGGGGATGGCTAGACCCAGATCCTCCCCAGAGGCCTCCCCTAACAAGTCCCTCCCCAAATTAAGGTGGAACCCCCAAACCGCCCGAACTACAAGCACTGCTATCCTTTAAAGGGGGTGTACACGGGTTTCCATGTTAGTCTGGGAGGGTATTGTTTGAGCAGCTGGACTGAGCACCCTTTCTGGAGGCTAGCCAGTAGGAGCTTTGTGGAGGGAAAAGATCTTGCACTAGGCTGCAAAGCCTCAAATAGTGGAGGATACAAGATGTTAGGCACCAAAAGTACTGCGAAACTTCCTTCGTCAGTAGTACTACTACACTACGCGCTAGCTGAGATACAAAGTGCAATGGCAGCCCCTTTCTCAAAGTATGCACGGAATATTTGTTAACTCTGTCCAAATCCTTGGTAAAAGTTCTGTGACGCTAGCCGCCGGCCCGTCTAAACCTTCAGCTTTGCCAAGGTCGATGTGGTGGGTCAGGAGCTCGCCGCCGAATCCTCCACCACAGAGCTTCCTGAATCTGAGAAGGAGCAAAGCCCAAACACTCAACCCTTGGGCTTCACGGATGTACGGTTCCCGTTTCACAGTGATTCAGAAAGCCTGTCCTGTTGCAGCTGTTTCATGGTAGTGTGCAGGCAGTATGATGATGCGGGACAGTCTTGTTCCAATTATCAGGGCTCCTCTGTGACCCGGACCGAGACTGCTTACTCCGGTATTCTTGACAAAGAGGTTTCTCAACGATGCGGCCTTTAGGGACCTTGGGGGGACAAGGGATTGTGGGGGTTCCCATAATGAGGGAAAACTTAGACTTAGAGAAACTGCGAGATTTGGTCCAAAAAGATAGCAACTACAGCTTCACATCAGGGGATCTGAATTTGAGATCCTTCCCCTGTCAATCTATATCAGCACCCTATGAAGCTGTGAAACTCATACGTGCTCGGCTCCAATGAGCTTCCGAACTAGCTCCTGACATTTACCCAGTGCAACCCGTCGGACCCACAACCCTAAGTGAGCTATAGTCAAAACTCGTCAAAGGGGGGACTACTATAGGGGTTATGAAGGGGATACCAGGAGTTTAGACTAGTGGCCTTCGGTGAGTCTAAGCGGAGTGATGTCCAGACGGAGTGAAGATAAATTGAAACCCTACCTTCAACCCTTAGCCTTAGCTCTGATTGATGATGCAATGTAATCGACGAATCGCACTGTAGTGGTCCAGAGAATGTTCGCTTTCGATGCACGGGATGACTTCCTTCAGCGGCGCGCAACCCTATGTCTGAAGACACTCAAGTTTTCACCAAGTTTTAACCTTCATCCCCCTATTGCTACGCCTATTTTGTTATCAGTAGCACTCGTGTTTTTGTAATATTCCTACCTAATTAGGGGCAACCATAAGTACAACAATTCCAGTCTTCCTAAAGAGAGGTCTCCGGGTACAAATGCCGAGATACCTCCCGTTTTCGTCACCGTTGAACCCTACACCCTAATAGGAGTTCGAAATCATTTGGCACGAGCCAGCCTCGAAAGTCGTCGCGCGGGGCGCTTGGGATGGCTGGCGAGAGGAGCTGTCATTGGGTTTAGGGTTTAGGGCTGTCAGAGGTTTACGCTTTAGGTGAGGGTTTGGACTGTTTTTGGACTATGGGTTTATATTGTCATGGGGGTTATGTAGGGGTGACCTGAATCTAATGGTCGTATATGGATTATGCTGGATCCTGCATCCTAGGCCCTAAACCCTTACTGGAGAACGAGCATTGCGGCTGATAGGCTACGGCATCCACAGGAGAGAGAGAGAGAGAGAGGAGGGAGAGGGTTTTCAGGTTTGGAGCTTAGGGCTTTTCTGGTCTGTGCCTCAGGCCTCGGCATTCAGGGGGTTCAGGCTTTGGGTAGGCTTCAGGTTTAGGATCTAGGGTCTAGGATTGAGAGTTATTTGGGGTTCTGTGTCGGCAAGGGGTTGAACGCGTAAGGCTTCAGGTTAGGGCTCGGGGCCCCGAATTTCCAGGATGTTCATGGTGCAGGCTGCAGGGGTCCCATAATCTGACCATCTTGGCCCAATTCAAGTCCATCGTACCTCAGTATATTAGGTCCTGGGTCCCTTTATGAATTTGCTTCATTCTGGAACAGTAACTCAGGCCAAGCCCCACATGAGTCAGGACTTGACGTTTCAGAGAACGGCTGATGGGCAATGGAGCGCGAAGCTGAAAGTTGAGGCCTGAATTGTCCAGCTTTGACTGCATCCTACATGCCATTTATGGCCCTTCAGAGAGATAGACAGGGATATACAGGGATGCACAGGGATATCTATATGTAGGGAATCATAAAATTTTTCTTCGGTTCAAGTAGGATGTGGATTCAGTCAATTGCACATCGCCATGTCTGTCAAGGACTCAGGAACCATCCGGCCCCAAACCCTACACTGCCCTACTACACCCTACCAGGCTGCAACCCTATTTAAACCTATATACCCCTACACGCTACCAGGGCCCCAAAGGCTGTAGCCCAGCGACCTTTGCCAGGCAGCCTCACCCTGACATTTGGGCCCCCCTAAGCCCTAAACCCTAAACTGGGAGTTTCTCAAAACGGGGGGAGGTGAAGGACTCCAGGGATGAAGGGTTGAGGGTCTCGGTTTGGTTGTGGTGCGAGGATTGCAGTGGTTAAGAGGTTATATAGGGGTTATATTGGGATAAGGGAAAAGAACATGGAAACTACGATTTATAGTGTAGATTTGTGTGTTTGTTACAGAACCTCCCATTTGTTGACTGCGCAGGTTTGCAAGCTGCCCATGCAGTACAAGTTCATCGTCGATGACAACTGGACGATCAACCCAAAGCTTCCTCTTGCCCAGGACTGCTTGGTAACATGGCGCGGCCGTGGTCTTGAATTTTAACCGTTACCGTGAAATCGCTATCATTGACAAATAGCATAAAGGATTATAACTGCAGTAATTGTCTCCCCTGGTATTAAAGCCTCCGGATTAGAGGCAGTCACGTGGTGTTATTAAGCCTCCGGATTAGAGGCGGTCCTCATGATCTGACAGCGGCAGTCGACTCTTACGCCAAGAGCTTGAATACTTGCTGCTGCCGTAAACCCTAATCCCTAAAAGGAACCTTTCACAACCCTTCATACCTAATGCCATCGGAGTTCAAGCGGTTGTGGGCTCTTACTGACGTCCTGCATCCAACACAGTGTTCTGCCACATTCCTTGTACGCCCTACTTACTAGCCAAAAGGCATACTTACTATCTAGATATCACTGTTGCTATCTACGTAGATAGAATGGTTAGTCTTAAGTTTGATACGTGCTGGTTGTCCTGTTTACACTTGGACCCACTTAGACAAGCAATTCAATCACTGAGAATCCTACTTGCTAAGTCCCACTTAGCGCGCCCAGCTAGGTGGGATGGTCCCACTTAGCAAACTGGGCTAAGTGGGACTTAGGCAAGTGGGCTAAGCAAGTGGGCTAAGCGGGACGGGCTTCTTGAATTAAAGAGGCCGGTTCCACTTAGCCCACTTAGCTAAGTGGCGCGGTCGGACTTAACGTACGACTTGGCTAAGTGGGACTTAGTGGCAGCGCCTTCGCACTTATAAGTGGAGATATATAGCCTGGGTTATAAGTCCGTCGTCCCACTTAACTTCAGTGGGCTAAATACAACTGACCCATGTAAGTATTAAGCTGGCTAAGTGAGAAGCTAAGTATTGCCATCTAATTACAAGTCTGCGCTATTCATTTAGTCGGTCTGACAAGTAGGTCGAACCCACTCAGACCGCTTACTCACAAAATTGTCCCATTAATTAATAAGTACTCAATTAATGGTTTTCATGGTTATAGATCACTTTATAAGTGCAACGTGTACAACGGGGCTTTACTTATGAGGAAGGCGTACCTCATGGCCCACCCCCAAACACATTCGCGTAATTTATGCCTTTGCATTTGTTGCTAGCAGCTTGAACCCTTGGAGTTCCATCAGGTTGGGTTTTAC